GCCCAGTGAAGTAGTTGACGCTACTTCAGTAAACGCTTTTAAAAAAAGGTAGATTTTTTTTGAACAATAAAGGAATTAAGGGATACGGTGAGAACACGGGTAAGTGGATCTGAGTCCACGAAAGGATCAGCCATGATCTTACTGAATGGCGGAGCAGGCTCGAAGGGCCAGACGGCCTACTCCTGCTCCTAGTTCTTATGTTCTTATGTTCTGACGGAGAGGGAACCAACACCATATCTGCGATTCCAAATGAAGCTCACGAAAACAAAAGCAAACCCATAGACTGTGTGAGTGTGTGTGTGCATGTCCAGAAGGGGTTGCGTTACATTTATATAAAGCCTTTTCTCGTCTCGGGGCCTCATTAGACACTTTCCTGTTGTACAATGAAGTGCTTTTGAAGTTCACTGTGTTGTGATGCAGGAAATAATTTTGGCAATGGCCAACGATTAGCGGTTTGAAGTCTCTGTTGAAGGGTTGCTGAAGTTCAATCAGATAAACCCAGGCAGCCAATCAGAGTTAGAGAGCTCCCTGATGCCCAGTTAGCTAGGGCCAGCAAACTGCTGGTATTTCAGATGGAGAGAAAGGTCCCAGGGCTCTAATAGATTGAGCAGTGCTGTGGAGCCCCGGTTGCAAGTCTCATATCAACGTTCCAAATCTTTCTTTTGAAATGTATCGTTTTGACCCCAAACGAGATTGTACTTTAATAAGACCAGAAGAAGTGGAAACAGGAGTGAGCCGTTCGGCCCTTCGAGCCTACTCTACCATTCAATAATATCATGGCTCATCTGACATTCCTCATTCCCCACTTCCCTGCTGTTCCTCTACTGTTCATTCCCTTTCCCTTTAAGCCTTGATTGCTTCACTGTTCAAGGTAAATGGCCTACTTCTGCTCCTACATTTCATGGTCTTACTTAAGGTAATGGCAAGTTGCCTTCTTAAATACCTCCATGTGTAGGTCTATGGGCATCAGGGAAGGGAGTGAGCCAGTGACAATGAAGGAGAAACAATATAGTTCCAAGTCAGGATAAGTGCTGGCTTGGAAGGAACCCATGTGCCAGCAGTTTTATGTTTGTCTATGTGTTAAAAACTGAGAGTTTGAAACATTCAGTTCAAAAAATCTTGATGAGTTGTTGCAAAATCTCTTGTAAATAATACACACTGGTGATGGAGAGAATAAATCTTCAAAGTACAGGGTGTCATTGAGTGGGCTGCTTTCCCTGGATGGTGTTGAGCTTCTTCAGTGTCATGGAGCTGTGTTCATCTCAGCAAGTGCAGAGTATTGGAGCACACTTGTGCCTTGTAGACGGTGAAAAGGCTTTGAAGAATCAGTGGGTGATTTACTCAACAGCCTCTGATCTGCTCTTATAACTACCATCCATATGGCAGTTCAGTTTTTGGTCAATGGTAATCCCCAGAAAGTTAGAGTCATAGAGACCTAGAGGTTTACAGCATATAAACAGACCCTTTGGCCCAACCTGCTCATGCCGACCAGTTTTCACAATTGATCTAGTCCCATTTGCCTGTGTTTGGCTCCATACCCTCCATATTCTTACATACCTAGCCCATCCTGTCCAAACGTTTCTAGAGTTGAGTCTTGAGGTGATATTTCCTTTTGCAGCTTCTTCTACTGGGATAATCATTGGGAAGAGAGACTGGGGACACACTGTTGTGAAAACAAATGATCTTTATTGTTTGTACAGACGGTTAACCTTGTGTTTTATCATTGCTGGCACTTATTTCATTCCTAGCAATCCATTCCATACTTTAAAAAATGGTCAGTCTACTTTGTTCACTCCTTTGCTGTTTTCCATTCCAAATCTTTGATCATAGATATGACACTGATGCACTTCCAATATTGATTTGTACAGAATCATGCAGCATATCTTTGGATCACTTCCTTCTTACTTATGTCACTCGTGATGGGTATAGTGAAGTTGTGTATCTACTTGTTGGAAAATTTCATTATGGAACTCAATGCTTCCTGTGATAAATATGAGCTTTTTTGGCATTAGGTGTTATCTTCCATTTCTCCTGCCAAATTTTATAATTCCATAAGATTGTTTTATGATCTACATCAACAGAATCTGCTTACCAACCAATCAGCAGCCTGCTGCGCTCATATATGATAAAAATGTTGTTCCTCTTTACTGGGGTATTTTTGCAAATTATTCTGATCAGTGCAAGATGAAAAGCTTTGGCAAAATGTGTGCTTTTTCAGCAACATCCAGATTCTGTACTATTGAGATATGCAACATGTCCAGACAAATTCTTTGTCCTCGCTATTTCTGGCAGAAACATCAATGGATTTAAAAGTTCACACCGTTTTAATGGCATCGCTGCCTATTTTGCACATGTATAGCCAAGACTTCAGAGCAGTGGCAGGAGTTAGAGTGCTTTAGAAAATCTCATGTTGGGCAAGTTGCTGGCACTTTCCCACCACAGGCCAGCTCGTTGGGAGTGAGAGTGAGACGGGCATTAGGTACCTGCTGCTATTCAGCTGCTCACCTGAGCAATTATCTGCCCACTTTTGGAGGAAACTTGATGGTGCCATCAGAGAGTTCTCAATATCTGAAAGGCCTCTCCACTCAGGGGTGAAGTCCAGCAGCAGGCTCCTGGCAGCAGGAGAGAAAGGGAGGACAGTGCAGCCTTCTTTATATTCCTTCCAATTCCCTTCAGCTCTCGATGCCAGAATGCCACAGCAGGTCACCCAAAAGAAGGATTCCTGTTCCACAGTAATTGCCTAATGGCCATTACCACAGTTCTTTTTAAGCTTTAAAGTGGTACCTTGGTGCTCTGATTGCACAGCATGACCCCCATTCTTAGCTAGACAGGGCTCCAAAAAGCTATCTTTAATTGACTGTTTGCAGTAAAATGATGCAGGCGATTGTGTCTTGCAGGCTGGAATGCAGAATGGCGTGTCACTTGTTTAAAGAAGGTAAGATTCTGCCTTATGGACGCAATTTCACTGCAGGGGCTGACCTGTGTTTAAACTAACCTTGTTTCTCAGGGCAACACAAGATAACCCTTGGCGGCAATGCTTACGTCTTGAGGATGAGCAATAAGAATACAAATTAATCTACCTCTCTCTTCCTTCATTTAATTACCACCTTACATTAACTTAGAAAATTAGCAGTATTTCCACTGTTGAACGTAATAACAGATAATACTTGATGACAAGGTCCCACAATTAAATTACGATACAAGCTTGACTAGTCACTGGATTTGACAGCAGATGTCTTCCTTCAGTGGTTGCACCTTCAGCTTTAGGTAGGAAGGTAAATCCCACTTTAGAAACCTGAATGTTTTGTGTGCAGTACTGAGGGAGTGTCACACGATTGGAGGCATTATCCTTCAGATGAAGCTTTAATCTGAGGCCCAGTCTGCCCTCTCAGGCAATTGTCAAATATCCCTGGATGTTAATAAATGACGAGGAGCAGGAAGGTTCTCCTGCCTTGGGCCTTGTCCGTAAGTGTCCCACAACCAGTAACAGTAATACAGATGATCAAGTATTATCTTATTGCTCTTGCGGGATCTTGTGTGCAAACTGGAAGCTACACTAAAAACGTTAACTGCAGTCCAAAATTACTTGGATGATTCTAAAGATCTTTGAAACATCCTGAGATGTTGACAATAACGGTAAAAGTGCAAGTTCATTCCTGTCTGTGAGCCATGTAAATTAGGATTAGAATGGCTGTACATCATACTAAATGATAGGCAGGTGAGTAGTTTAATTAACATTAAAGCATTTTTGCAACATGAAAATCTTTCATGTTTAGATTTTCAAAAGAAATAAAACAGCAGGGACTGGGATAATGAACTGTGCTATGCATCTCTATAAACATTTATGAAGATTTGGAAAATATGATCATTGTGATACAAAATATTGGATGCTTTCCTGAAATTTTCTGAAGACTGTTCACACACGTAAGTGCCATCTGTGGAGTCACCATTAACCAGAATTTTAACTGCACCAATCAAATAGATACTGTGGCTACAAGATCTGGACAGAATCAGGGAATTTAGCAGTGAGTAATTCATGTCTTAACTCC